TATAGTGTTGGGATGTTAATGTGGGAAATATTTGCAGGTCACCCACCATTTGACAATAGAGCTCACAATCATCGTTTGATTTTTGATATATGTGCAAAAGATTTACGACCACCAATATTGCCTGGAATGCCTGATGATTATGTACAAATGATGCAGAGGTGTTGGGATGTGGATCCATCAAAAAGACCAACTAGTGAAGAGCTTTATGATTTCGCTGAAAATAAACGTAATGAAGTTTTTAAAAATAATAATGATAATAGTAATAATACTACTAATAGTGATGGTAGTGGTAGTGGTAATAGTGATTCGCAACAAGTATACGAATCACACCCAGGCGCATATCATAAAAGTAGAATCTTGGATGAAGATATTGCTAAATCAAAAAGCTTGAAAATTTATACAAGTAATGATAGTTCGTTAAATAGTCTTGATTTTAACTCTCTTCTCTTAAATGTTGAAGGTGAATAAAAATTTCATTATTAATTAAATTAATTGGAACTTATTATTACTAACAATATTTTTTATTTACGTTTGATTCTAATAATTAAAAGAAAGGATTGATGAATGACTAATTTAATCTCCACTATAAATTTATTTATTATCTTTTTATTTATCTTTTTATTTTATCCTTATTTTGTTTAATTATAATAAGATTTTAAAATAATAAACTTTTTGATTGTTGTTAACAATTATGACTTAACTTTGACTACTCTTGTCAGTTAATTGCAAATAATTCGGTGCTTGTCAATTAATTAGTTTACAAATTTACTTTGGTTTTCTCTTTCTTGCATCTAGGCGGATCTGTGAGCACACTTAATGGTACCAGATAACTGTAAATAAATAAAGATAGACTCAAGCACTTCTATAAAGTTCCTTTTATTCACTTGTGATCGTTTTATTGGCTGATTGCAAATTTGCTTTGGTTTACTTGTAAAAACAACCCTTACGTTTACAATTATAATAATACTACCAATATTTCCGATTAACCTTTAGACGATGATTCATTAACACCCAATGTTAGTCCAAACCTTTGCTTACTCACTAAAGCAAATCATGTTACTAATTGTTGTTAACATTCACTAGTTAACCCTAACCTTGCTTACTCACCAAAGCAAATAAAATGTAGCTTTACTAAAGCTCCACAATTGTTACCTTTTTACTTATTCCGCTTGTTTATTTTTATTTAGCCGATTGCAAACTCGCTTTGGTTTATTTATAAAACAACTTAAGCGGCTTATTTAACAGCCTTACATTTACGAATACAACAACTTTGCCCTTTGCTTACTCACAACATTACTAATCGTTGTTATCATCCACTAGTTACCCAACGTTAGCCTAATTTTTGCTTACGAAACAAATAAAACGTGATTTTTTACCAAAGCTCACAATTGTTGCTTTTTTATCAAAGCACTCGCTTTAAACGAAAAATAAAATAAAAGCAATGTTTTTATTTATAAAAAAGTTTATTTACAATGTTTGGTTCTATTTGTTCCCCCCTACTCTTTCAAGCGAGAGCCTGAATAAAGTTGTCAATGTTCTTTTGAAGTTGAACGTCTACATTATTTATAATGTAAATTTGAGATCATTTCAAAAATTAATTTATAGTGGCAGCAAATAATCACAATTGTAGATAGTTACTATTAATAATGCACATTATGTATGCACTAACCTCTACGTTGTGTAGAAAATACATAGACTTCAAGTACGCAAATATACGATGAGTTTGTTTTCCGACCAGTAATGAATCCCAATTTGTTATACGTCAATAAATTATAAAACACAGCAAGTATAAAGTTGAGTTTGTCAAACCAAATTGCAAACCAGGTGAGAAAGTTGTGTAATGGTTGAATTAGCTTCTAAATTAACTAATCCTTGATGCCGAGTACTTAATGTTGAATGTGATAGCATTCTTCATAAACCAAACGTAAACGGTCAACAATTGAATTGGCCCACCTGTGTCAAAGTCAAACCATTTGTGGTGAATATCCACATTGATTTATTTTAAAGAGAGATTTTTAAATTCAGTTTCAGAAAAATTAAAACAAAAAGAAATTCCAAGTCTACCAATTTTTTGCCTACAGACTAAACGAAAGTTTAGAACGTTCTACGTTGGAATATTCATGAGTATCATATAAAAAATACTCGTATCAAAGGTCATTGAAGAGTATTGTGCTGCTCTAGTGTATATTTCTCTTTCTTCATCTCCTTCGTCGTCCCTTCCATTTCTTTATTCTTCTCAATATTAAACCATTCCTGAATTGCTTCTATATATTATTGTTTTCTCCCATGGATTATTTTTATGTTGATAGAAAGTTTTTGCAGCGGAGCAGCCATTTCCATTCCTTCTCCACGTAACACATAACTTTCAGTTACCATTTTATTGTATGAAAAGCCAAGCTTTTTTAGTTAAATTCTTTTAATTCTTTCCTGATGTTTTTTGATTAGTAATCGGCTTGCTTTTTTTATTTTTTCCAGATTCTATAATTATTTCATCAAATTGTTGATTTATATTATATATAGAGCTGAAGCAAAAGCTCAACCAACACACCTAAAAGGAATTCACTTGTAAAATCAAGCAGTTTTTTAAAAAAGTTTTATAAAGGAGCCATTGAAATAGATATTGTAAAGATATTTACAGTTTTGGTTTTTTAAATGAAAATAAGTGGGTAAATATTTGTATAATACATCATTTTATCAAAATTTTGACCTTTATTTAACTAGAATAGTGCAAATATTTAACCCAAGTAAAATTTGAATTTTTTACCCGTAGATAATTCTTTTTCTTAAAGATATTACACAGACTATGATTAATATTAATCCAAAAAAGGACAAAGCCTATATAAACATTCATTTGATTCTTGATATTGCATATCTTGATTGGAGCAAAATAAAATTGATTGAGCTTTATGGTTGCATACTATGAAACAATTTTGACCAATACGCTAAATTTGAACCCTGAAATTTCTTTGCGTCATCATAATGTACCTTGCAATATCCGTTATCATGATATAGTAAGTACAATTCGTTATGGCAAGCCTTTTTGAGTTAAACTTTAACCATTTAAGGATGTATGATGTATATATATGTTTTATGACTGATATGGAAAAAAATCCATTTTTGTTCTGTTTTAGCATGATCTACATTAAAAAAATTTATTTTTTTTTCAATTACAAATTTCAAATGAAAATAAAAAATGTTCGAAAAATTTCCAGTGGAACTTTTGGACAAAGTATTCAAAAGAATCGAAGAAGATTACAAAACTCTTTATTCGTGTAGTTTAGTTAACAAATCATGGTGTAGAATTTTTGTTCCAACATTATGGAAAAATCCATTCTATTCCAAGGATAGTATAAAGATATTAATTAGTTGTTTGTTAGTAGAAGATGATAATTTCGCGACAACAAACAATATCACACTACCATTTCCTTTGCTCAAAAAACCCCCTTTATTTAATTATGGCAGATTCGCCACCGTTTTAAACCTGAGCATGACTGAATATCTTAATAAGTTATTGCTTATTAAATATAAAGATGAATCATTAAAAGACCATTTGGTAAAATTTATCATTAGCCATTCATGTATTGAACGTCTCAACACATCTTTTCTTAAGGCTAAGATGATAACTAATCATCCTAAACTTAGGGATTGTTTTCAGAATCTTAAACAACTCGAAACAACCGATGACTATAGTCCTAATTTCTTTATTGTATTATCAGATGTCTGCAATCATATTCAAACATTTAAATTGCATCTTAATAATATGAATAAACATGCCAGTGCAAATGATTTAGCAAGCTTGATCAAAAATCAAAATAAAGTTAAAAAAATACATACTTATTTACCTAAATCAACTAAATCGGGCGAACTTTGTGGTTCTAATTTAAAAAATGCAATACTGAGCCATTCCAACTCGATGGTTGAATATCATAGCACAGGGTATAATAGCATGGACTTGTCGATAATAGAATTTAAAAATTTGGAGTCATTACACTTGAAAAATAATCAAGTAACTAGGGTGTCAGAGGTTATTAAATCTACATCATTCCCAAATATTCAAAAGGTCACGATGGAAAATTCGGATACGCAGTTGTTTTTAAACATGTCAATCTTTGTTAAAATCAATGGAAGTACGTTGAAATCTCTAGAGATTGGCGGAAAACCGGTCAATGTTCATCACAAAACTCTTTTTCAGTCAATCGGAGAAAATTGTAACAATCTAGAGGATTTGACAATGTTTTATGCAAATCATTTGCATCAAGAATTAATTAAAATATTTGATAATTGTATTTATTTAAAACAAATCTATCTGAGATTAATTTATGGTATTCTGATCGAAGCTGATAAAATAATCGATGCATTGGATCAAACACTGCCAAAACATTTGGGAGTGATTAAATTTGGAAATAATATTAATATTTCTGATCAATCATTGGATAATTTAAGCAAAAAGTGGTTAGGTCCCAAGCCTATCCTATTAAGTTATAGTAATTATAAACAAAACGCTATAGGAAAATCTCCCTTCCTCAAGCTACTTAAATATAAAGGTTTAGGATTTTTGAAATATGAAGTTACAGATGAGAAACCCATCGTTGATGATGGTTATTATGATGATTCTTATTCTTATTCTTATTATGATGATGATTATTATGATTATTCTGATTATTCTGATTGTTCTGGTTAATGTCGTGTTAACATTGATCAGGATAATGAGAATTCCTTTAATCTATTTTTGCTATAGAAGTTCATTTTTTTTGTATTTATTTACAAATAATTTTAAAAAACAACACAGCTATATGCAAAATAAAGTTTGTAATATATTAAATTATAAATAATAAAAAATTATGGAGGTGTTGTCACGCCTGACATTGACATTCATTTATATAAAATTTTCATAAATAAATAAAGATATATTATTATAAATAAAAATATTAAATAATATTATTTTGGTTTTATTAAAAAAAAAAATTATTCTTATTCAAAATATAAAAACATAAAAACCATTTATTCGCCATTCTCACTTGAAGTAGGTGAATATAAAAATTGCTGATCATCCAAGTTTTCATTGTTTTGATTGCTGTCAAATGTTGAGATTTTAAGAAGATTGGTTGATTTATTATTGTTTTCATTGTCATTACTCGTACTGTTTCTGACATTCATGTGATCGCCTGTTTGGCGTTGATATTGTTTAATAGGAGATATAACAAGATGTGCTTTATGTATCTGGAATAACAATAATCAATTATATATATATATATATATATATATCTGAAAAATTAACAAAAATAACAATCAAAATGCTATCAATACAAACCCTTCTTGCAAGCCTTCCAACATTTCCATCAATAGCAACAATTTCCCAAGCAAAGTCAATACCAAAGATCATCTTAATTCCATATACAATGCGTTTGGCATGAATTTCCTTCATCAAGACATAATCATCTTGTGTGGTGTATGGAATCAATTCTGGATCTGTGTCAAGGGCTTTTTGTACTAATGTAAGCACCATTTGTTCAATAGACGGAAGATCCGACATATATTTTGGTGTTGGTGCTATTTTTTAAAAAAATTATAAAATTTATAAATTTATAAATTAATTAAATGATAAAAAACACATTATAGTTATCATTGACAACAAACATACCTTTGATTTCAAATGGCTGTGAGATGGCCATAACTACATGTCCGTTGTCACGATGGTATCTAAATTCATAAGTACCAACTTCCCATGGCAATTGATCACTCTTAAACCATAATGCACCAAAGGCATTAAAATCATTACTGGTGGCATCAGTAGTGGTAAATGTTTGTGTAGTGGATGTTGATGTTGATGCTGCTTCATCGTTATTAATATTATCAAAATCTTCATCCTCAGGCAAAACATACATGTAACGACCTTTGCTAGAGACACTAGTGACATTCTTTGAAGAATTAGAAGTTACTTTATAAACACCAATCCAATCTTTACATGAATGATTCTTGGGTGCAGTCCACCTTAAATTAATCGGAGAACCAAGTGTGAATATGATTGGTTTTGACACTGTTTTAAATTGTTCTTGTTCTGGTTTGTTATCTGAAGAAATTGGTGTACTTGGTGGTGTGATATTTATGTCCTCAGGAGCTACAAGAACTATTGAATATCCTGAAACGTCATGATTTTGAATTCGACCAACGGCTTGGCTAAAATCAAAATAAAAAAGATGAAATAGAATAAACAAATAGCATGCAAAACAAAATATAAAACACACACACACACACACACATCTACCTACCTTATTAATTTATCACGAGAAATTTGTAACATTGTTTTAGTTTCTTCAACAACTTCTTGAAATTTGGGTTTTGTTGAATCGACAAGTTCGCCTAGAGCATCACCAGCTTCCTCTACCATTTTTTCAACAGTTTCAGCGAGTTCTTTGATAATTTTTTGAGCAACTTGAATCTCTGTAGTTTCACGAATTTTAGACAATTCTCTTTTAACAATGTTTGGAATAATCGTTAGACGTTTAACGGCCCTTGTGACTCCTGCCTCTTTCCTAATTTTGTCACCATAAAGTTTTTTCATATGAGGTCCCTCAACATATTTCAAAAATATGAAATTTGAAATCTGTGAAAATAACGCCACGCCAAAAATAAGCCAGCTGTTTGCAATAAAAGTAATACCCCAGAATGCAGCATGTCCCATGATTTTCTCTGGATTGTTAACAAATCTATAGATGCCGGTATAATATAAAGTTGTAGAATAATCATCTATAAAGAAATCACCATAGAACCATCCAAAATCCCCAAGAACCTCAAACACAGAAACAGAGGTCCATATATGTAATGCAATCAATAGTACACCCATTGTATGTCTTAATAACACCAGCCCATATGTCCAATCAGCTGGGAAATAATACATTTTCCATGCAGCAGCAATAAAAGTTACATATGTCATACACAATGATAAATTATAAATGCTAAAAAAGAATGTTTGTAATATTTAGAATATATAATATATAATATATAACCTTCCGAAAATTTTTTTTAATATTTCTCACCTTTTCCAATTAGAAAAGGCATCACCTGCAGTTCCACCATATTTAACATAATGTTTTGTTAAAAACTTGCTTTTACTTTGCAAATGTAACATATAACCTAAACCATAAGAATGGAATATTCTCCATGCCAAACATTGTAAAACCAAAAAAGCTTTAACAACATTATCAGAAGTTCCTGATATAAGTAATGGGACAATGACAACATAAAAGATCATAAAGATGACAAAAAGATCATTTGAACGAAACAAATCAAAGTTTTTGAATATGATAAGATCACGATGAAAATGACAATGTGTTGAGTTTGAAAGATCAGGAAGCATAGGTTGAATTAGTTGCTCGTTAGGAGATGTGTGGGAGGGTAATGACGATGGTGGTTGTGGTGATGACGGTGGTGGTGATGATGATGATGATGATGATGATGATGATGATGATGGTGGTGATGATGATGATGATGATGGTGGTGAAATGGAACTATCTTTGTCTAAAATAATATTTGATTCATGTTTTTCTGTCAATAATGATTTTGAAAGTTTAGCATTAAGTGACACCAGTGGATTGTACGTTTTATCAATGTCTATGGTTTTTTAGAATGAATAAATGAATGAATGAAAATTAATTATATAATTAAAATTTTTTGTTATAACATAATAATGATAAAGCATATTGGCAATTAGTTATGTAACACCAATAAATTAAGTCACTCGGTTCAATTTTGTTATTGGAACGTAAATGCCAAATGAACAATTGAACTATTACTTACGAGGATTTTCTACAATGGTTAAGAATGCAAATTGTGCTGCATGAGCTGCTAAGCTTACAAACAGCACAGTGTAACTTGCCGTAATCATAGAAATACCATAATAACCAATATAACCAACAGAATACATGGGATGTGGTGCCATTTCAAATACACCATCAAAGGTGAGTGATTGATCAATAAGGAAAAAGAAATCACCCCAATCTACATAAAATAAGTGTTCATATGTACAAGTATGATGTATGAAAGATATTCTATGATTATTATTTTTTTTTTTAATTAAAATAATGATAAAAAGAGATAGAAAACTTACACCAAGCAAAATCTTTGACTACACGGTGAGCATCAGCTTTTACCCAAATGTTAAACCATAATAAGAAAAAACCACCTATCCAGCGTAACAAGTTAATAAAAATCCCTGAATTTTCTGGAATGCCAAAGTTTGAAAGAGCAAAGAAAATATATGACGTAAAATCATTAAGAAGAATTAAATCAACTAATTGTCGAAATAGAAGCCAAGTATTAAACTCCAAAGGAACTCTCTATATATAAATATAAATATATTTAAAATATATAATAAAGATAATAAAAAAATAAATAATCACCAAAATAATAATAATTAATATATGGATAATAAAATGGCAAACTTATATTATTGTTTTTTTAAAAAAAACAATAATAATCCATCATTAATTACATACATCAAAATCATAATCATCACCCATTTTTGTACTTAATTCTTTCTTGAGGAGGGAATACCATTTCGAGTTTTCTTTGTTAAAAATCTTATTACGTTTTGCCCAAATAACCAATCCACGCTTATCACTCTGATATTTTAATAGATAACCCAATCCCACATTATATGCACTTCTCCAAAAAGCAAAAAGAAAAAAGAAAGTCCATTTTTTGCTTGATGATGGAAGTACAAAAAATAGCAACATTTGAAAACCAATTACTGAAAAGGTGATGTAATCAAATAAAGATTTTTTACATTTTGGATCAAAGACCGATGTTAACATTTCTACAGTATGTGGTACTTGAAATACTATCATCATCATCATATTTATTTATATAAAAATTTGAGTTAAAAACAGAATTTATATATAGATAACAAAAATGCTAATTGATAGTTTTCATAAATATATTCGATTGAATTCATGATAAATACCACGATTGTATGGTGTTTTTCCATAGACAATTTCTTCACTTTTTTTCATTTTATCATCATTCGATTCATCAGATATTCTATTATTATCATTATTATCACCATTATTGTTGCAAATGCTGCTACTTTCAGAACCAAATCTAGATCTTAATTGTGAATCGTTACTCATAGTTACTTAATTTGATAAATAGTTTTTAAAGGTATATCGTCTGTTGAAGACGAGTATATATATATATACGTCAACCGTTAATAAAATATAAAAAAAATGATATTATTTATTTTCCAACTGTTGAAGTTGGTAATAATAATAATAATATTTATTAAGGTGTATTATATATGCAAGAAAAAAATTTTTTTTCCAGATCAAAAATTCTCGTGAGCGCACCTGAGATCACACATGTCGATTTGTTTATTTATTACAAATTAATGGTTTTGTGTCATCGTTAAATGCAGAAACGAATGAAAATCACAATATTGGGACACCAAAAAATTTTTTAGGCATTAATGCAAATATATATATATATATATATATATATATACTAGTACAAAAAAAATTTTTTATTTAATAAGGTGGTGGTCCACGATATACAACTGATCTTCTATTATGCTGTCCACTAAAACTACCATATGATTGGCTAGGCGGATAATTAGATTTTGGAGGTGATGAAAATTCAGAATATGAAGAAGGTGGTGGTGGTGGGCGTCTAAAACCTTTATTTGGATTGTAAGAATAATACATTGGTGTTTTATATGATGGTGGTGATCTTGGAGAATAATATCCTTCGGCATGAAATTGTGGTGTTGATGGATTATTATTTGCGGTTAGAAAAGGACCACCGTTATAGTAATTGTTATTATACCTACGGTTTACATTTGGTGGAGCCAATGGAAATTGGTTATCGGGATTATTATACCAATTTTTATCATCTTGGGTTTTCCATCTTCCTTGATATATTTTTTTTATTCTGAAATTATCTGTATGTATATTATTTTGCTGTCGTGGTGGGTGGGCTTTTGATTTGGCCTCATTCAACCTGTCAGCCTTATGATCAAAAAACTTTTTATCTTCTACCCATTGAGCTCTTTTCTCCTCCTCCAAATCTTTCACCTCCTGCAATGCAATTCTATAGGCTGATGAAAGAGCATATAGGAATTGTTTATCATCCATATCATCAATTAAAATGATTCCTTTCTTTTCTTTATTAAAATAAATATCTCCTGTTTTATCTATTTTATTCAATAGCCAACAAACATCATTGTAATTTTCTGTAGTTCTTGCTTGTTCCAATACTAATCTCAATATTTTTGTTAAACCGGTTGGTTTCAAAGCTATTTGTTTCTCAACAGCATTTTCAAGAATTTCTTTTGCTGTGCTTAGATCTCGAAGATTTTGACATGCAAACATCAAAGATTCAAATGTAGAAGCATTTTGAGCAAGTTTAAATTTTTTAATTTGATTATGGTATGTTTCAATAGTTTTGTTGAATTGATAATTTAAGTTGTAAAGTGAAATTAAACCATCATAATTACTAATGTCAAGTGAAAAATCTGGATATTTTGCTGTAATTTTGTTATAATATTCTATTCCTAAATCGAATTGTCTTGTTTTAAAACATAAGCCAAAAATACTGTCCACTGTATCGTTTGTAATTGATAGTCTCAAATAATGAGAATCATCTTTTGTTGATTCTCCTTCTGCTGCTATGGCAGATTTACCAATCCCATAAAAGTCATCAACAATAACGAAAGCTTCTGGTATGTGATTAGTAAATTTAAAAGCAGCAATCACACCATTAATCAATCCATCATCAACTACCACTGCATTGGGATTATCCTTGTTCTGATCATCTTTAACCAATTTGTTCCAAACATCAGTTGCCAATTCGTAAGCCTTTTCTGATTGTCTCACACCATTTGCTGAACACAATTTCAGGATTTGCAAGTAAGTTTTTCTGTTTGGTTTCAACTTACCACTCCTAATCAAATCATCATAAGTTTTCAGCGCAACATCAAAATTTTTTGCACGTTGACAAATTGTTAACAGACAATTGACATGTCCAATCTCTAGTTTGATCTCAGGTCTTGTTTGACTTGATTGAATGATTTGATTGATGGTTGACATTGCTTGTGAAACTATTGGTTGTGAGACGTAAAGTAATGATAGACCTTTTAAAATTGCTGTATATGTTTCTTGAGTTGGAAGCATTGAAAGTTTTTTCATCTATTTGTCAAAATAAATTTTTTTAAATTAAATTGATATTAACATTAATTAATTAATTATTATTGTCGTTATAAAGAAATAGTTTTTTACTTCATTAAATAATCTAATCGACATTTTAGTTTTCCCTTTATCAACACATTCAATTATCAATTGATTCCAAGCTTCGGCATTTTCTAACCCTGGATTTTCTTTACTTGACACCAATTTCATAGCATCGTCCAATTTTTCTTCTTTGCTTAATTTAATTACCTTTTCTTTTATACTTTCCAATGTTTCTTTTGTAGTAGTAGCAGCAGGAGATGAAGATGAAGATGGAACGTTTGGATCATTATTATTAATTTCACCGACAGCACTAGTACTTGTTTCTAATTTTATTGAATTATCGGTAGTTTCATTTCTTATAATGCAATTGTTGGAGAATTGGCGCAAATTGACAGCTTGATTTTTATTAAATTTATTATATCCGGTCAAGTTGGTATGAAAATGATACAGGTTTTTTCTTGGTGGTATTAATGATGGTTTTGGTAATAACCAACGTGTTGATGCTACTACGTTTGGTTTCAAGAATGTTGTTATTGTTGATTTATTACAGTTTAGTAATAAAACATTATTTATAACTTTTACATATAACATTATTTACAAGCTTGTGGAAAAATTTTTTTTTCTCACGAGAAGATTATCAAATGATCAACCGTTTGGTTTCTGCAGTTATCGGGAGATCTTTGTGTGTAACATCCATTAAAGTGAACATTACGTCCCAGGAAAATCAAAATTTTCAACAATAGTAATAGTAATAGTATTAATTACATTAATGTTTTTTATTATCAAATCTTTCAAGTCAATGTCATTATCGCAATGATTTGTTACTACTAACAAAAGGGTTATTATTATTGTGATAATGGTAATAATGAATGGTTTTCAAAATTAGCAATGAGATGATGCTGATGTATTGAAACAAATAATGATGGATGAAAGCATTTCAATCAAGGATGTTGGCCAAAATGGTTTTTGAAAAATCAATTTCGACAAGCAATTTCGGATTTACCATCTTCTTTTATATCAATATTGTTTCTAATTCCATGAGTACAACCAGGACAATGATTTGCAAGTTAAACTTTTTTTGTACATACTTGCGTTGTGCAGGGTAATGTTCTTTAGATTTTCTTTTTTGTTTTTAGCAAAATGGATTCACACATTTGAGGAAGGTCTACCAAATAATTTACTTTTGTTTTAAACAATATTATCTCATGAACTTACTACTGGATGTAAAAAGGAGGTGGTAGTTGCTAGCACAGTGATTGATTGTAATTTGAATAGTTTATGATAATTTGTATTTATTATTATTATATTATTATTACAGTTGCTTTTAAAACAATTTTCTCAAAATATTTATTCAATGCAATTAAGGAATATCTTTATATATATTTTTTATTAAAAAAATTTTACTTTTGTCAAATCGTCAAATGGCCCTTGGTGAGAAACTGCCTTTGGTCAGTACTTTTGTCACGTCAATGACTAAAATCAAAAGTTTCGTTATACATTATTAATCGAATCACCTAATTTTTGATTCGCTTCATTCGAATCGAATGCTTTGGTTCGATTTGAATCCGATTCGACTCTATAAATGATTTGAAGTTCGAATCTAATTCAAATCAATACCATACGAAATAATTTGAATTTTGAAAGTCAAAAGTATTTACTTTATGCAGTAATTGCATTTGACTTTTCCATCTACAACTGTAAAATGGTTCCAAACTTATTTCTTGTCTTCTTTGAACACTTTGCACTGTGCCTGCTGAAGAAGTTATTGAAGTGGCTTCATGCAATTACCGCTATTTAAATTTAAATCTTTATTTATTAATATTAACATTGGCAATACAGTAAATTCTAGTTTCAACTAACCTTGTTTCATTAAATTCGCGTTACTACGAATTTTTAAAATCCTGCTCCGTACATATTAAACATATAAAATTTGTTGAAGCACAATTAGTCATTCGGTATAACGAATTTTAGATGCAATTTCTTATGTGTCTCGTTGAAACGAGGTTTGACTGTATTAACAAACAGGAATTGTAACAAACATATCAATTTACCCACATCAATTTAAAAAAGTCTAATCTGTATAAATACAAATTCTTATTCCAATCATTTGTTTATTCGAGTTATTCGTTTTATTAGAATTAATATGACATTAAAAAAAATTTAGGAATCCGGTTTGACTCGATTCGTTCGGAACTTATTTATTGTGAACGGTATTTCAAACGATAATTGCAACAAACAACGTCTAATCTGTGGCAAAAGGAATGTTGAAAATCGAAAACGGACTTGTCCAATATGCAAAACTCGATTACCTACCCTGACAAAATTACAACAACAGAACCAGTAATTGATTCATCTGATCGATCATTAAAACCAACTATCTTTAAAATTCATAGGTTTGAAAATGAATACAACGCTACTACCAATTCGTGTACAAATATCAATTGCCGATGAAGGTGTTGATTTTACATAGGCACTGATTTTGTTTGATCCCCAAGATTCAGTACAGTATGATGATAACGTTATGAATGCCTTATACTACTAGCAAAACCTATTGGTTTTGAGATTGGCCCATTGGTCTGACGGGCTGTTGGATAGTAAAAGAGCTTTTTGGCGGAGCAAATAAATTTTTCTGGGTTTAATTATCATTCTATTGACCAGTTACATTAATGTTGTTTGACGAAATGTTACCCAGAAGATTTATTTTCCCTGATGTGGGTTAGATAGGACCTCGCAAACTTCGTAGCTGGAAGCCGATATTTAGTGCAACAAAAATTTTTTTTAAAACCAAT